GAGTCAGCTGGGGTCTCCCCTTAAGGCAGAGAAGAACCCCGATCACACCCAAAGAAGATGACTTTATACATGTTTCTTACACAGAGATACAGCAATTAACAAATTGATTGCCTAAAATTGGCATAAATCTGGGATCCTCATTATTGGGGGAAACTTATCTTCCCGATGACCTATTGGTTGCTAGTCAAAGTTCGGAGCACCCCCTCTGATCTTCTGATATTGTTTCATGGAATGCAGAGGTATTGGCAGAGCAGCTGAAGGGTGTTCTGAAGACTATCAGATTGGGGTCACTTCCTCCCATATCTTTATGGCCTTGACACTTAAGGAGACAGGATGTCTGTCCAATGTCTTTTCAACAATAACACAAATGAGGGAAATGTGTGAAGGTTCATGAACATCAATTTCCTTGTCATCCCTTTGGCTTCCAAATTTAAGGAAATAAAGATGAGAGAAACTGAGAGCCCTTTTTCAGAAGGTTTCAGTAGGAGAGCACAGTAAAGTTACGTCTCAGTAGATTATTATTTCTATAGGAAGCAAGTTTATTAATGATTCCTTAAATAAGTGACTCAAAGGGGAAAAATATATACTTTATTGAATTTGTTAATTGTATGAATACTGAGATGCCCAATGTGGTTCTTTTTATTACTGTAACACAGAACAGTTACAATAATTACAGAAAATAAAAAATGGAAGATATATAGAAGAAAATTCTTAATATATAACATCAGAAAAAATGGCAAATAGAGTGTATCTATCTGCTGATGAGAATAGGTACTTTAAAAATTAACAGAATTTATATATTATACAACTCTGTTATTCTAATGGAAGATATTTAGAAGAAAATTCTTAATATATAACAGCAGAAAAAGTGGGAAATGAAGTATATCTATCTGCTGATGAGAATGGGTACTTTAAAAATTAGCAGAATTTATATATTATACATCTCTGTTATTATATATGCATAGAAAAACTCTTTTGGATATGGAGCTATATGTATGTATGTATCTATGTATGTATATGTATGTATGT